TAATTCTTTTGCTTCTTCATAAGATTGGACTGTGCACAAAACGTTCCAATCTTGCTTCGACATTGTTTGAATGGTGTCATGTACAGGTTAGGGTAGTTATTTATAACCATCTATGAGTTGACAAAAAATTTTTTCAAAAAACTTCAACTGTTGACGATAAAATTTCGAAAAACTTCAACCGTTGAAATTTAACTTCTGTTCTGCTCATATTTCTTTTCTTTATATTATTTTTCTTGTCTGTCTATTTATTAATTGGTAATCATTGCTAATTAATTGCTATATATTCTTCTTATATGTATTTTCTTTAATTTAAATGTTCTTTAATTGATTTGGTGATCATTTCGATAGAAATAAATTTGGTGATCAAAACACACTTTTCTCCTTAAAAACTGCTATAAAAAGCAAGTAGTTTTGATAAAAGTGCAGATTTAAGCCTGAAACATGTCGACATATGCTGGTCCATGTTTTTATCTCTGTCCATTGAATACGCCATGATCGATTAACTACTCAGTCGTTCTCTTCCACTTCATGTACAAAATATAAGAAAAATCTTTAGATTTTTGCAGATAAATGCTCTTCTTTGCTTACTCTCAAGACTATCTCTTCTTAATTTTCTATCATTGAACCTCATTACAATGCCTCGAAAAGTTTAGGAGGTGGAGTCGAAATTTTTCTAGAAACTGTAACTCAGGCATGTCTTTTGGGGATTTTTCAAACCTTTTCTTCAAACCTTTATCCTTCGACTAAGAAGGATTTAATAATTGAAATCTTAAGATTTTTTAGGATGTTCTGTTAGATCTAGCTCCAACCGCCCGGTCAACTATCAAAGAGTTCCCCAAAATTTTATGCAGATATCGAAAATCTGTCACGACTCTGACTAATTAATTAAATCATCAGAATCATCAGTTACAAACCTTGATGTAGTTGTTCAAGCCAGCTTCTGCAGCAAAAATTGTTGACAATCTTGAACTGTAAGATGTTATCAAAATCTTGTCGGATATCGATAAATGTGCATAAAAAATTGAAAGAACTGAACAGAAACTTAAGAAATCGTTCAAGATTTTTTACCTGGGTATTACAGATGCTCGACTGCCACAAAACGCCTCTTAATTATTCATTATGTTAGAGCTTATTTCTTTCAGAAGCAAGAATGGCATACGCTGCGGAACAAGCGAGTGTACGTGAAGTACTGCAACAGTTCACCTTTTGTGAAAACAATAACGCTCAGAGTCCGATGAAAAACAAGAGAAAAAACTGATAGAAAATTTACGTGAGAATGCTCTTTTAAATTGTGAAAAAATTGAATTACAACGTTTTCCATTTTTGACTACTGATTACCAAGGGTAACGGGAATCGGTAGAAGAAGAAGACAGCGATGAAGGAAGGTTTTTTGATGGGATACCAAATAAAGAGGAAATCACCTTAATTTGGTTTAATAATAATATTAATCTAGATGATAAAGCTATCAGACATTCAACACAAATTTATTGAGAGATAAATGATTATATATTATTTTATACCGAACAAGCCAAATGTATTAATTGTATTGAATCAAATAAAAATGAAAAATTATTTTTCTTGTTGTATTTACTTTATGTGCAAATGATTTAATTTCAAAAGTTACTCACTTAAACAAATTGATTCAATACTCCTGTATTGTACTGAGAATAAACAAAACTACGAATATTTATTAAATGACTACAATAAAATATACTTGGTACATTCAAACATCAACAAATTCTTATGAAATCTATTAAAAGTAATTTTCGATTAGTACAAAAACAATTCTCCATTTTCAATTTATATGATCAAAACAAAAGTCATTTCGCAATTCAACTAAAGAATCGAGTTCATTTTTATGGTTTCAATTGTTCAATGAAATTCTTCAGAAAATGTCACGAACAGAAAATGCCAAAAAAAGAAATGCTTGATAAATATAGAGCTTATTATTATGAAAATAAGAAAGAACTTCCAAATATTGATGGATTTGAACTGACATATGTTTCAACTGAAGCAATATTTTGGTATACTAAAGATGGTTTTGTACATAAACTCATAAATAAAGCATTAAGAGCAGAAGATAGATCCATTCGGTGTCATCTGTTAAAGATAATCCATTTCAGACGTTAGGTAGTTTGGTCATATCAAACTATCTTGTAGTCTTGTATGTGCACATCAATATGCTTTTAAATAATATGTTTATCTGACAATACTATTTGATACAGAGTTATTAACTCTCATATAAAAGACCACTCCTAGTGAAAGAAACATGGCTATAGTTAGACTAAGAAGCAGAATAGGAGTGGTCGATTAAAAGAGACCTACATATACAAATACATGTACAAAGGATAAAGAGCCACAAGTAACGTTCATCTTCGATTCACTCTGGTCTCTTGACGTTGAATCGTAGTGATCATCTTTTCTTTACTCAATTTAGTTATTAGTAGGCTGAGCGCAGACAGATCTCTGCATCTTACATTCCTTCATCTTACATTATTTGGATAGCACTAAACACCAGGACCAACAGACTGTATTGGAAGTCATATTAAGATACTCCAGGCGGAGAAATCACCAGACGTATCACCAACAAAAAATTAAAATTCATTTAGAGTTACAGAAAAGTGCTTTTTCGTATTCAGCACACTTGATAACCTCGAAAATTTTCTATTTTTAAAGAGGGATACCGCCAAAAAGTTAAGAAAAATTTTCAAAATTGTATAATTTTGCCATGGGGATTTTTCTGCGTCAATTTGTTTGAAAAATTTTCTTAACTTTTTGGCGGTACCCCTCGGTAAAAATAGAAAATTTTCGAGGTTATCAAGTGTGCTGAATACGAAAAAGCACTTTTCTGTAACTCTAAGCAAACTTTAATTTTTTTTTATCGATGATATGATACACGTGACTTGCATCGTGTATGACGCGTGACTCGCTATCTAACAGGGAGGAAAAGGGTATCATCTATGACTGGACACATCAATCGGGATACTGGACACTTCACGAGCTTCTATTCTTGTTTTAAAGTGCGCATAATATTTGAAAACTACTGTCAAAATTTCAGTGCATCGAGAAGCAAAAATTTTTCGATGGAAACTGATTCTAGTTGTAACCCTGGAAATCGATACTAGTAATAGCCGCTTTGGACAATAACGAATCCAGTATGCATGCGTAGCCATAATGATGTAACGAGAGACTCATCACGGGTTCAGGAGAGTAATGAAACAGGAAAAAATTGTTTAAAGAAATAATATGAGACAGGTGGAAGTCTTATCAAGGTATTACCGTCAGAGAAAACTTGGCTCATCGAATTTTACTGAGAATATGCTGATCGCTACCTCTGCATTAGCTAGTAAAATTATCAGGTAAAACCTGGATGTCATCGACTAAGAACCAAAACCACGAGAGTATCTGCATTTATTACTCAGAGTTCCAAAAAGGGTATCCCGGCATGAAAATACTTTTATGGTTCTTTTTTTAGAGAGCAGTAATCCTAGAGACCCTAATGAAACATGAACCCGTTTCAGCTTTTCACCGTATTTTACCAATCATCGCCGTCACTTAAACCGAAGAATTTGCTATAAGAATTATAATGTTATGTTTCTGAGAGACTTTCTTCGCTTCTTATTATGTGTAAAGAAATCATAGTCCGAAGTGAGCATTATCAATAGAGAGTTACAGTAAAAAATTAAAGCGAAAACATTCACTCAGAGTCACCTTAATTAAAGTCAAAACAAAACAATGAGTCATTTTATCGGCGTTCGAATAAAATGCTTATAACCAGTGATGAAACATCGATTTGGAAAATCTGACAACGCCATTTGGTTTAGCCCGTAGAAAGCTCCGAAAGAGAATAAAGCTTTTCATGGCCTAAACTTTGACAACTTCGCATGCTAAACCAAATGGCATTGTCAGATTTTCCAAATTCCTCTTTTTTTATATCGATCACACCCTCCATGAGTCTGAGTACCGGCTTCTTTCTTGAGTTTCGTGCCTCGTATCAGAAATCGACAAAACGTCCCGGAATTGCTATGCACCAACTTAAATCCTCTATGTTCCCGGGGAAAAACCTAAATATGACTGCAGCTGCAAAATCGGCGGCACTATTTCTCAAATCTTCTACTCCAAGACGTATGGACTGAAGCGACATAAACTGCATCCAGGACTAGACATGAACCGAGAAGACCAAAGTGATAAGCAATAGTACAAACGAAAGTAGTACATCTGTATAGATATATATATAAATCAAAGGCAAGAAAAGCGCTAAATGTTCATTCTCAGCACAAATCTACAGAAATAAGAAGAAATTAATTTAGGGCTTTACTCGTAAATTCTACAACTTTGCAAAGAAAGGCCGGTGGGGGGTCTCATTTTAATCCAAAATCTGCAGGCTACAATCCTGCCTCATTAACAAAGGTTTTGGTTATTTTTTAGAAGTTTTGAAAAACTGATTTTCAAGAAATCCGGTCTCTGAAGACCTATTGACCAAAATGATTGTTATATTCGAAAGCAACATAGTCGATAACCGATAACCCACTAGGTTTTAGCCCGAAATCGATTGGGACTGAGAGAGAACCTGGGCAGGTTCCCTCTCAGCTTCCTGGGCAAGGCCCAGGAAATATTTCGACAGGCTCAGGCAGACCTAAACATTACAGGCCTGACGCAGGCAGACCAGGTCTCAAAATTGTCGGCCTGTTTCGTGCCCTGATATAAATAACATCTAGGAAATTCAGTCGTCTAGAAGTTGCTTCAGAACCTTTCTTCAGAAAGCGATCGGTTCAGAGTTTGCTGCTTTTTAAGACTTGAGACTTTTTCAAATCTAAAAAATTTATCCAAAAATGTAATACACGAAGCACGCTAAGGCAAAAAATGCTTTCTTTTAAATTCATTGTGCTGGATTAGCTTTGTGTTAACAATTATCTTAATTTAATCACACGGATATAGTTTGGCAGCTGCTTCAGCTTCCGTAAATTCAGCAAACGCAAATATTTTTGAAACCAGCAACGTTTCTATCACTTTTCGAGCATGTATTCTTGCTCTATAATTGCATGTTACACTTTTCCAAATATTCTGAAATTCCGGAATGTACTTGTAATCGACTGAGAATATTAGATGAAGAAAATCATTGCATGATTTGGATTGATCATCAATATGAGGAGGATTATCATTAGCATTCAACAGACGATTTGGTAAGTCGGGTATTTGTAATTCTAATGTTACATTCAAATTTGTATCAAGACGAGCATAGGCTGCATCATTGATATAAAGAAAAGGTAGGTCTATATGAAGAATTAGTTATGAAGCATTCACTTACCAATAAAGTAAACCAAATGTGCCCACATGATGCCAAAATGTTGTTCAACTGGTGACATGTACGATAATTTTTTTTCAGCTAATGGAAGTCCGTCGTCTATCGATGCAATGTGTGCGTTCCACATTAAGCGCAAGTAACACTGATCAACATATTCGGGTGGGTCATCAGTAGTTACAATTAGCTTGCGTTGTTCACAGTAATTGACAGTTGATATGTTCGAGAAGAACGATGTCCATTTCTCGATAGCATTCGGTGTTTGTTGAATGCACTCGGCGTACGTAGTACAAAAATTATCGATTCGTTTAATTTTGAACGGAATTGTGAAGTTAACTTTGATAACACTAGCATTGACAGCTGCTAGAAAGGGTATAACAGACAGATAGTAGTTCATTGTTGCCCACCAACTGTTTGGTGATATACATGTTCGATTCGTTGTACAAAGTGCACCAGTAGAGCTATTTCCACCACACGTTGTGCGATTTGTCAGATCACTTAATCTGAACGTCTCGTATTGCCAACTATGCTGAGCAGCCAGACCGAACAAGATATTTTCACTAATATCTCGAGCAAATGGCATATATTCTGTAGATTCTAATATCAGCATTTTATATAATCCAATTCGATGACAATACGACAATGGGTCAATTTCATAGTAACCGTTGATAACAGGATAATCGTCTATTCGAGATGGACTTTGATCCCACAATAATGGATAATAATCAGCAGAAATGGAGTAAATGATTAAGCAGAAAATATACAATTTAAGCATGGTCTATACTAAAACAGAGTAAATAGTATTTGAGCTTTGAACTGACAATGGACCCATTTAGGGCTTTTCGTGTGCTTTGTAAAGAAAGGTCGCGAAGAGCTGGGCGATATCTCATTCTAGTCAGAAATTTGCGGGCTTCAATCACGCCTCATTAAGAAAGATTTTGGTTATTTTTCAGAGTTTCTGAAAAACTGGTTTCCCAGAAAACCGGGCCTTAAAGAGCCATGGATCCGAACTCTTTTAGACTTTCTCTTATCTCAATATACTCTATCGAATGACGTATGAACGAACGAAATCGGAAGAGTTCACCGAAAAACGTTCCCTCGTTAGCTGCGAATACTGATAGTAGGAAAATTTGGTCGAAAAGATAAGTTATTCAAACAATGTTGCACATGCTTTCAAAATATAAATTATCCAATATACGTAGTTAGAAAGTATTTTCAAGTGGACTCGATGCATGCCTGACAATGACGCCACTGTTCTATTCATTATAGAAACTCGAAATACTCAACAGTAGCAAACCTGTTGATAAATTGACTGGTGAAACACCACAGCCGTGTATAAGATACTATTGCCTATACTATTTCTAGAATTTGCATTATTTTGTCTTTTAAGCATCTGATTGATTTTTATACACACGGCATGAGCCAACTGGTGTATCACGCGAGTAGAACCTTCATAGTTTATCCCGTAACAAAAGAAAGAAGATTCTACTATATTAACTCGACTTGTGTTCTTGTTCTCATAAAATGTACTTATGCTTTTTCTACGATTCTTGTATACTTTGACCTTATAATAGTAGAAAAATGAGGTCGAAATGATTTCGTGCAACAATGTGCAATCATTTAAAATGAATTATTTAGATATTTATCAAAAAAGAATGGCACAATAACATTGAAGGGAAGACATTTTCTGTAATAAATACAGCTACAGGCGAGGAAATTTGTCAATTAGAAGAAGGAACAACCCATTTTCTTCCACTCATTTCAGTGTATAATGCCAAACTCGTTGTTGCATTGAACATTCCACTCGAACACAAAACGTGTTCGACCTTTATATGCCATTGTTAGAGTGATCGGAGAGAGTATATTCAATGAACATGCCGTTATTTGTTTACAGAGCCACTTGGACACCTACTATCTTACTTTACTTTGGACACACTACAGATATACACTACTCATGAAGCTTCCCTGAAGAGTAGTATATGAAGTAGAAATTAAAAGTCGAATTTCTTAGTGCCAGAAGGAATGAGCTCTAACTTTGCAGAAAACTTTGTTTATTCTTCTAGATAATAATAATGTTTGAATAAAGTGTCGAGGTCATTTCGTTTTCAAAATGCCAGCAGACGTCTGCTGGCATTTTAAAAACGAAACGACCTCGACACTTTAAACAAAGTTTTTTGCAAAGTTAGAGCTCATTCCTTCTGGCGCTGAGAAACTCGATTTTTAATTTCCACTTGATATGCACAAGATTATTCGATGAACAGCTATCATGAAATAGGCTAAAGATACATGTAGTTAAAGCATAAGTGATAAAATACAGCAGTAAATGATTAGGTATGGGGCAAATCGAGCGGGCGCTCGCGTGCTCGCCACGAGCGCGCTCGTCACTCGAGCGAGACGGACGAATCGCGCTCGTCGCTCGAGCGACTGACTTACGAATCGCGCTCGGTGTCCGAGCGTTCGCATGTCATTCCTAATTTAAATAAAATTCTCTATACACGGTGTAACATAACCTTTTTCTCCCCCCATACACGACCTAAAAGACACATAAAATAAAAAACAATTTATACCAAATTGAAGCCCGTCAAAAACTGCATCTACCAGTGCAATTAGATTGAATACTGCTTTAGTGAATGTTACAATATCTTGTGCAACATATTATAATATCATGAATTACATAATATAGAAT